CTGTAAAAATATAAAAGTTAGAAGTAAAAAAAGAAAACAAAGAAATGAAATTTAGATGAAAAAAAAAAAAAAACACAGTGGGGAAAAAAATGTTCCTTGTATCTTTGTGGACATTTTGAAGAATTCTGAATTGAAAGAAACCAACATTAATATATATATATATATATATATATATATATATATATATTATATATATATATTAGGAGGATTTGATAATTATATTTTAATTAATTCATCGAGTCTGATAGAAACCTCAACAGAATGCAGAAAGCACTGGACAGCTGTTTAAATCTTATATTTGGGACTCATCATTTTTAAGCATCCCACTACCAAGAATTGAAACCCATTGAGGCCCATTAGAACAGTTGGTATGATGTTTGCTTGACAACCTAACTGTCAGGGTTTCAATTCTTGGTAGTGGATGCGCCCTGCTGATGAGTCCCAAATATAGGACGAAACGGCCGTCCAGTGCTTTCTGCATTCTGTTGAGGTTTCTATCAGACTCGATGAATTAATTAAAATTATATATATATATATATATATATATATATATATATATATATATATATATATATATATAGAGAGAGAGAGAGAGAGTTTCATTCTAAAAACTGAGCCGTTGGACCTCATATATCAAAAAATGGTGAGGGAATCATATAATATATATTTCGACTCTACTGGCAAATTTGGTGTACAAGGGTCAAGCAGCTCAGTTCCTAGGAACCAACAGCCCAACACCAGCACATGACATTTGATTAAAATGGTGAAAGTTTTGTGCCTCCAATATATATATGGAGTATCCTCCCATCATTTTTCACTGTATAGGAGTTTCATATAAATAATAGCTAAATTACCTGCACATATGATCTGATTATAGTGCTGAAAGTCTGTGCTGAACCAGTCACACTTTTTGGAAGAGCCAAATAAAATGGTGCACTGCATGCCAGAATGTCCCTAAATGAGTCTCCCCTGATTTTGAATTTGAAGTTGTCCTTCTCCTAAATTGGTTGCCATCCAAGGCTATAGGATCCAATCTGCCCTGCTATTTACCCATAGCTTGGAGCAAGAGGAGATGGATGCATATGTTTCCCAAATGAACATAAACTCTACTGGAATTTGAACTTGGCTCTCCAGTTCCTCAATCCAAGCAGCTATTCATTACTCTGCTGTGCCTATATACAACTTGGGAATTAAAACCAGAGTGTACCTGGTCCTGAAGTACCATAAATATTTTTGCAAGAATACAAAGTTTAATGAAAGATGTAAAAACAGATATGTTAAAGCAAGGAAATTCCCAACAAAAATGAGGTTAACAAAGAAAATATTACCATAAATGTCAATTTTGAAATACATGATTAACTGTTAAACCAGTTTATCATTTCTCTCTCACTGCAGCTAAGATCAAAGAGGAAAACATACACAATGAATAAAAAATGAACACCTAAGACAAAAGTTACTTTTAAGCACACCAGCTATTCCTTCTGCTTAAAGAGGAATGGCAGGTAAGACTTACTATAAACAAATGTTTAGGATTGGTTTCCAGATTCCTTTTCCACTCTATACTTCTAATGTCTGTGACTGAGCTCTGAAATTTTATTCATTAATTATTTTTTCTTCTCTTCCAATAGGAGTTAATACGTTCACCTCTTATCTGGTTCACACTCCTACTCGGTCTTTTGAACAGGAGTTGAGGTTTATTCCTTGTTTCCTTTGTAGGTTTGGTTTTCTGGTTCCTTCTCTAATCTACTTCTGCTGTATAACAGTCTGAGCTTGAAAATGTTATTCATAAATTAAATCTTGACCTCTTCAAGTCTAGAGTTAGCCATTGTCTTTCCTGCATAGCCCCAAGAACTTCACTTCTTGCACTTTATACTCATACAACACCACACAGTAAACCTCTACCTTTAGTGGCTCTTAGGCCTTGTATTGGGTAAACATGAGAAAAACAAAAAATAAAAGATACCAACATGAATAAAAATGAACACCCAAAATGTTATTTTTAAACTCACTAACCATTCCTTCTGGTAGAACTTATCAACAGATACCAACACTTTCAAATTAAATTCAAAATTAGCCTTGCTCAGTACTGATAACATGGCTTGGCGAGCCATTCTGAACCTTTCCTCCATCATTGACCCCCTCGGCTTTATGTATTTCTCCATTTACCCCCTACTCCCATACAAAAAATTCATAGCCATCATAAAGCATTGATGTACAATTTTGTGACTAAATGAATGAATGATTTTTTCATTCAAAATATTAAGGTTTTTTTTAGTCAAAATATTGTGCCCAGAAAAAAAATACTAAGTGACACTCAAAATCCTGATTTCTTATTTAGTACTAATCTACTAATTTTTAGTATAAGTATTCTGTATAAAATTCAGTATTTTTATTAATGTTTGTAGTCATTAATAAAAAATTATTCATTTTATCCACTGTATTAGTGGATCTACAAATAATTACTAATCATAATCATTCATTCATTCAAAAAATTTCTTTTTAGTATTTTTGTTTTTGGCAATTTAAAAAATTTTTGGAAAATACTAAAAAAAATTTTTTTGAATGAATGATTATGATTAGTACTGACTAATTTGTGACTAAAAATTGTGTAAATTAGTCATTAGTAAAAATACCAAAACAGAAATAAAAAATACTGACAAATACTAAAAATTAGTAAAAATTCAGTATTCTGATTCAAAAATTAGTAATCCATCATTCATTTGTACATCAATGTCATAAAGTGACAGAAAAACAAGAAGGTCAGAAAGAACCTTTTTATTGTTTAGGACTTTAGGTTTTGTATAAAAATAGTATTATACATTCGTATAAAAAAAAAAAAGAAAATCAAACCTATTCTAAATAGAAAATTATGAAGTTAATTTGTATTACAAAAAATAATGAACCGAAACAGCAGAAGCATTATCAGTGGGAACACTGCTGATTCATTGAGTCAATCAGTTTGTTTATGCGAGGAGTTGTTTCTGATAATGCTACTCTCATATCATCATCGGCTTTCAGGCATTTTTTTTAATTATCAGGTACTTCAATTATTTACCCCCGACTATATAATTTTTTACCTCCTAGGGATAAATTTACCCCAAGTTGAGAACAACTGGACTAGGCACATCACTGTTTTTTTATTAACAGTTCAGCTATTGAGGAACCTGTTGCAATCAAACACTTGTGCAAATTGTCCACCTTGCCCTTGTGCAAGAAAATTTGATATTATTGTAGCTTTTTATTATAAGATTCTGGGTTTATATATTTTTATTGTATGTGGCATCTGTCAGTCTTGTGAGGCCATGGACCTGTTTCCCAAAAGTTATGCTTCAGCTGCTGCTGATGGTGGTGCAGCATCCACTATGGCTGTACAGGTCAACACACAAGTGACAGTCTCAATTGCAACCAATGCATATAAAAACGCTTTCCTCCAATGTCGCTGTCATGTTTTCTTTCCTTTGAGCAAGCCTCTGTTTCTTTTCTCCTCAATCCAGCCATTGGTGTAAACTGCCTCCAGCATGAGCAATTGTTGGCGATGTCTTCCCACCTCTCGATGTCCATACAGAGGGGCCTTTGGAATCCTCCCATCAGTAGACTGTTGCTTACCATGTTTTGCGATAATGGTGAGGCAACACTGATGTTGTCTAAGAGAAAAGTAGTGTCCAATACAGCTTGAACATAACATTGGACTGTCTAAGGGACACCATTTCTAGATTATGTTTTTATTACTACTCCATCATATTACTATATTTTTTAATCTAAATGTCTTGGGTGAATACCTTATTCATTATTATTACAAATAGTTTGCTATCTACCACTCCACTGATGGCCAAATTGCTGGGCCCTTTAAAAATACTACGTCTATTAGAAAATCAGTTTAAATACAGGAATCATAAAAATGGCTTCCAAGGCCCGGCTTAAACACTTTTCCTGTTACCCAAAGGTTGTTGTCAAACAGAAAGGAGAAATTAACTCGCATGACACAGATTTCATTCAGATTCAAATTGTACATGTTATCAGGTTTGTGGGTGCAGATGTATATGTTAATTCAATGACAAACCTAGAAATATTTCTACAAAATCTAAAAAAAGAAAAGAAAAAAAGTAACCTTAAAAATAATTTTCATTTATTAGGAGATAATTTCAAGTTCAAATCTTTGAAATAACAGATTATTTTTAGGGTTTAAAAATTTCTTCTTTTTTTTTGTCTTCGACTTTATGATTTCATTGCTTAGCTAAGGGTAGGTGTTGTCCAAGCTGAGATGAAAAGGAATGTATTATTCCAATGTTTTATTTAGAAAAAGTCAAATAGTGTAGGTTTGTACTGAATGGCAACAGCACATGTAAGATACTCATACATAATACAGATATACACACACACGCTACATATGAACATACAATGTAACCTACAGGGAATTTCAAACTAAACCCTTTATTCAATATATGAGAGTTGACCATTATCATTCCACTGTGCAGGGATATGTCTTATTTTTAGTACTGTCTTATTTAGTTATTGCTTGCCCTGTTTAAATGAATCCAAGTACATACTGTCCAGCCCAGATACAATACAGATATGCATATATACATACAGACACACACTATATATGAACATACAAAATAACCTACAGGGAATTTCAAACTGAACCTTTTATTTAATTTACAGGGTTAGATTGTTCTCATCTCACTGCCCATATCTAGGAATATCTCATCTAGTGCTTATTTTTAGTACCGCTCAATTATTCTTTGCCCTGTTCCCGCCACCCCATCCCTGAGTTCAAGTACACACTACCCAGCCCAGGGACTGAACTCACAAATAATATGTCACCAAATTCACAAACCAGTGCTTTAACGAAATAGGGGATTAAAGCAGAATAGAGACAGAAACGGGGAAAGAAAATGGGATGACTTTGCTCACAGCACAATATCCAAACTTAGTTTAATAGAATTTTTCACAGAAATACATATTTTTTATTTGTGTCCCCCCACCCTAGCTTCCTTCTA